TTATTATTTGCTATTTAATTAGTTAATATTTCGTATTCTTTTTTCGTGGTCTCGAATTTGACGGAAAATATTGTTTTAATTAATTAATTATTAGGGCTTAAGAGATGTGGGAAGAGTTGCAGGCTGAGATGGCTGAATTACTTGAGGCCTAATATCAAGCATGGTGGATTTACTGAGGAAGAGGATAATATTATATGCAGCCTCTATATCAGTATTGGAAGCAGGTATACATACACATATACATATACATATACATATATATATATATACATACACACAGATACATATATATACAACAGGGAGACAAACTCTTTTAATTAGCACATGCATACTTGTGATGAGTTTCAGCCATAACCAATTGTCCTTTTTCCCTTGTTTTTGATGCTTTTTAATTATATCATTTTATTTTATTTTTTAATTTTTTTATAATTAAATTCACATGTTCTTGATCAAGAACATATCAAATTTTCATTTGAGGGTTTCTATTTTCAACTAACAAAAAAAAAGCTAGGTTTTTCGTTTATACGATCTTTAAATTTACTCCCTTTCTTGTTTTTTAATTTTTTTTAAAATTAAATTCACATGTTCTTGATCAAGAACATATCAATTTTTCATTTGAGGGTTTCTATTTTCTACATTAAAAAAAAATAAAAAATAAATGAAAAAAACCGGTAGGTTTTTCGTTTATATATATGATCTTTAAATTTACTCCGGCCTTTTTTTTTTTGGTTAAAAAATAGGTGGTCTATAATTGCTGCACAACTGCCTGGAAGAACAGATAACGACATCAAGAACTACTGGAACACAAGGCTGAAGAAGAAGCTTCTAGGCCGACGTAAAAATTCCAACTCCAATAATCGATTTTCGAATAATATCCCGGGCCACAATCCAAGCATCGATAACGCAACCGAAGAAGAAAAAAGCTACAATAACCTAAGCAGTTCAGCCCTAGAAAGGCTTCAGCTTCACATGCACCTTCAAAACAACAATAATAATAATGACAATAATAACCCTCTCTCCTTTCACAATAATCCTGTGCTTTGGCCCAAACTGAACCCCCTACACCACAAAATGATCCAAACCCTCCATTCTCTTAACCCTAATCCGACGGACCAAATTCACTCCACTACTATTAGTAACCCTGATCAATTATTACCAGCTCCTGTTTCTTCTGATCTTGATCATCAAGATTATTACAGCCCTTTGAGCAATTTGATTGTCAGTAATAATACAGATGATGATCAAATCAACGGTCTTGATTTATCGGGTTTTACCGAAACCGAACTCGAAGATTTACTACTCAACAACAAGTCTTCCGGTACTTCTCTCGCGGTGGAAAATAATATTAATGGTGGTTTGAAGGACAACCTAGGATGGTGGTCTGACGAATTCGATGCCAGCTCAGCGTCGTTAAACTCGTGGGATTCGGCGGTTACTATGTTTCATGATCAGCCTCAGGAGATTACTTATGATCAAGATTATGTGCTGGGATATAGTATGCACTAAAATTATTTTGAGGAAACAAAACAGGTGAGGTTTTAATTTAATTATTATTATAGGAGTTCATTTGTTATATTAAACCTTTCATAAAAGAGAATATTCTGATTTATGTCTTTTTTTGTAAAATTTTATGTGAATAAATGATGTTATGTACTTCTTTTTGTGATCATCTGCCACTATGTAATCAGACAATATGAATTTATTATTATTGTTGGTTGTTATAAATTCTGAATTTCGGAAAATTTTATTTTATTAAATAGCACAAGATGTGCAAAGTGTCAATTTGTATTACAAGCACACCACCTCATAAGTCCATAAACTCGCTACATTTTGAGCTCATATCACTCGTAATTCCTCTTAGTCTTCCCAAGCAATTGTTATGAGAGACGACACTCCAATGGGTTGGTGAACCAACTAAAAATTCCGTATCAGAAGGATTAATGTAGATTCAACGCATTTATCCAAGACCAAGTTCTAATTTTAATAGCTTCTACCACTACTTCGATTGATGTGCGTCTATCTTGAAAATTCTTTGAGTTCATTACTTTCCAAAGAGACCATGTTGTACAATGCCAAATCATCATCCGCAACAACGTATGATTCTTTTTTCGGCTAAAACCCAAGTGAATTTCAAAGTACTGTTTTTTTATGCTCGAGTGCATGACAGTCTGAACACCAGTCCATGCAAAGCAACCCATCCATACCTTATAGGATTACGCACAAGAAGTGAATGAGTGATCATTGTCTTCTTCAAAACGACCACACATATCACAAACCAAATTGCAATCCTCAAGTAAAATTGGTCTTCTTCTTATGTTCTTTTTTGTTAGTAATTTGTTAAGTAATAGTCGCTACACCCAAAAGCTTGAACCTTACTATGAATTCCGCTCAGTCAAATTTTCTTTTGTCAGGTACCATCTTCAAAACTTTGTTCTCCCCTTATACGAATCCCTTGGTAAGCTGAGTTAGTAGTATATACTACAGGTTGGGTCTTCTTTTCATTTCCACGTGTCCTACATATCAGTATCTGGAACATACCAAGTAATATTATTTTCCATTGAAACAATTCCCTCCATTCACATTTCCATTTCCACTCTCCCTTTTCCCATACTCTTTTGTCTGTTATGCCATCCATAATCTTGCGCTGTTAATGAAACTACGAGCCATCCAACCACAACAAACCCCACCTTCGCCCCGGGCCACCTCTGCAACTGAGAAGAACTCCTTCCCCATCGAAAAAGAAGCGTCGAAATTAACATTAACCTTTCCAGTTGAAGGCGGCGTCCACCAACTTTGGTGCTGAACGATTACTCCTGATTGCGGAGGAAGATGCGCCTCATCAAAGCAGTCAAGAAAACCTTATTTTTCTCTACAAGCTTGCCATAGAAAAATCCTTATTTTTGGTGGAATGTCCAGCCGCCAGATGTGCTGCCAAGAACAATCAAATCCCCCACTAACAGACCCCCCTTATCGAACCTATTTTATTTCTCGATTCACTCGATTCAATAGAAGCTCATAGGATCCCAAAAATAACGAGAGATATGAAAAAAGCAGGTCCAGTTACGTCTATTCAGGTTTTCTGCCCGGAGCGGCCTGTTGACCGGTGAACCGGTTCCGGAACCGTGAACCGGCCCGTGTACCTCGGAACGGGCCCGGTTCTAGAAATAGGTGAACCGTGAACTGCCATCCGGATTTAGAAAAGAAAAATAAAATAAAAAACTAAAAAAAAGCTTTAAAAAGCTGAACCGACCCAGTTAACCGGCCCGAACTGGCCCATGGCCGTGTCTACGTCTATTCCTAATCCTAGATGGAATGGAACGACGTAGGGATCCATATGTAAACATAGCCCAATCGAGTTCCCAGTTGAATTGAAGTCTTGTTGCAAAATTGAAAATTAACAAGATCTTACCGTAAAAGCGCCATTCCCCGAATGATGCCAAACAAACTTATCCTTAGACCTAAGGCTTCCGATATGAACTCTGAGTTATATAAAGTTCTAGGAATATATGATATAGTAAAATATACTTTTGAATTTCAGATTACAGGAAAGGGATGACAAATCCTAGAATATTATGTAGTAAAATATAATTTCGAATTTCAAATTTATTTATTTTTGTTATATGGTTTTCACAACCAACATAAACAAAACAACAATTCATAGAAAAAAATAGAAAACTCAGGTTCAGCTAGCATGTTATATTAAAAATAAATACTATATACACATATTCAGGGTACGTAGTTCATATAAAATCAAACACTCAGACTAAAAGTTAATTATTCGGTTCTGAAAATTTAAACCCATTAATTACCCAGTCGTCTATCGGTAATCGGTAATTCTTTTTAAACCTTACACCAATTCAACATTAAAATTTCAAATCTTACGATTTGTCGATTATGTCATATATTTGAGTAGCAGTTAATTTTAAGAAAACAATAACTAATGTCAATATTGGTGAGAAATAAAATATATAATAAATAAACTAAAAATCATGAATAATTAATAGCTTAAAAGTTAAAATAATATAAAGTTATCAACTTCCTAAATTCAAATCGGATAGCAGTGAAATACTAGATATTCTTTAGTTTTCTCGAATCGTTTATAAATAAGACAATCACCTAAATTTTGAAGTTACTTTAAATTTTTAAATTCATTTTTAAATGTTTTTAATAATAAATAGCCCTTCAGGACAGATCATACATGCCACAAACAGCTGGAAATACCGAAATAGAACCTTTTTTTTTTCTAAGAAAATTAATTTCCATCTTAAACACAACACACAAAAAAAGTAAAGACAATCATTGCCAAGGTGTCAAAAGGCAAAAACCTCGTTTGCATATGTCTGTACTGGTCATACACACACCAATGTGGGTGTGTATGTGTTTGTGTATAATATATGAATGATAAATATTTATTCGATATCTTTCACCCAGTGTAGCATAGTATAAACCTGATTGGTCAATGCTCATACCAAAAGGATTCCCTCCTCAAATTATACAATCCCCACCTTTTCTTTTTATTTTCTTAATTAACAAAAATTCATGGCAAAATTCTACTTTACCATCATCATCCTCCTGATCATTTGCCCCTTCACTATTTCATGTATGTATACTTTTGGTTTCATTTTTATTTTATTTTAAATTATTCTAAGTTTCCAATTTGAGCTAGAAATGCAACTAATTTTTATTATTATTATTTATGCTTGAAAATGCTTCTCGATTTTGAGTTTTCGTTTAACTTCGAGTTTCAATTCTTGAATTTGATTTGGAAACTAATTTTTTTAGATCAATAAACATCAATTGTTTTTGTTGCTTGACATTCTATATATATATATATTAAAAAAAAAATCTGAAATGCAAGTTTCCAATTTGAGCTAGAAATGCAACTATTTTTTTTTTTAAATTATTTATGCTTGAAAATCGCTTCTCGATTATGAGTTTTCGTTTAACTTCGAGTTTCATTCTTGAATTTAATTTGGAAACTATTTTTTTTAAATCAATAAAAATCAAATGTTTTGATTGCTCGACATTCTATATATATATATATATATATATATATATATATATATATATATATATATATATATATATATATATATATATAAATCCGAAATCAATTACTTAAATTTTGTTTCGATGAATTTCTATATATTTTTATTATTTTTTTTCCAAAATCTTTTGAATTGGTAATGCAGGTTGGATAATCTATCCCGGGGGATGTAATCCAGGATGTATCCGTATCTATCAATGGCCATCAGGATTCGCGGGCCTCCACATTCCGAAATTCACAGTCCAAATAGTCAACGAGGCATGGAACAATAAAGGAGTTTACGACGTTCAAATATCTTGTCCTGCGTTTGCTTCGACGACTCTGATTAATCCTGCCGTTTTCAGACGGATAGACTTGGCCAACTGTCTCCTCTATAATGGCCGGATTATCAATCCTGGTGAAGTGATTACTTTCGAGTATTCCAATATACTCCCCTATCCGTTTATCGTTCTCGATTTAAAATGCATGTAAAACAATTTCATTTTTAGTTTCTCAAAATTGATTCCTTTTTGCATTGCTGTACTTGAATTCTTGCCATATTTGTCTATTTCATCTTCACTCCAAAAGGCCAATACAAGAATGGTATATATATATTATATATATATATATATATATATATATATATATATATATATATATATATATATATATATATATATATATATATATATATATATATATAAATATATATACATTTATACTGATCTATCACAAAAAGGACTGAAAGTAAGAGCGCGGGTGGTGGAGTGGGTGGAAACCTCTACAAACATCCGCTCAGACATGATCATCAAACAAAAAAAAAAAAAAAAAAAAATATTATTATA